GCCTTGAAGTTACACTTCTGACAATACGAAAATACATGTGTAAAAGGTTATTCATTGCAGTGTTGTTTGTAACTGCAAAATACTAGGGGGTATATATAAATGCCAGCTATAGGAGAGTGGTTGAATTAACTATGGTACATTCACACGTGGAATACTACACAGCTGTGGGGAAAAAAGAGAGAAACTGATATGGAGTGATTTCCAGTGTATACTGTTAAGTGCAAAAAGCAAAGTGGGGGCCGGCCCTGTGGCTTGGTGGTTAAGTGCGCGCGCTGCGATGCTGGTGGCCCGGGTTCGGATCCCGGGTGCGCATCGAGGCACCACTTCTCCGTTCATCCTGAGGCCGAGTCCCACATACAGCGACTAGAAGGATGTGCAGCTACGACATACAACTATCCACTGGGGCTTTGGGGGGAAAAAGTAAAATAAATAAAATCTTTAAAAAAAAAAAAAAAAAAGCAAAGTGGAAAACAGCATTTATAGTATAAGAAAGAAGAAGAAATGAAATATATATGTATCTGCTCATTTGTGTACAAAGAAACACAGAAATGATAAATGAGAAACTAATGAGATTTATTCTCTACAAGGGGCCATGGGCATGGGTGCAAAGGAGGGAGGGAGGGACACTGTTCCGCATATACCTTTGTATAGTTCTGACTTTTAGTGCTGCTAACGGTTCAGCACTCAAAATAAAGAAACAAATAAAATCAACAAGGGTTTGAGGAGAACCAAAGGGAAGACAAGCAAACAAATAAAGCTACTTGTATTACAGATGATTAACAATCATACCAAAATATGAGAGAGGGAAGAACTAACCTAAGTAACTTTGAAAAGCAGTATTTTGAATATATACTTTATGACTAAAGACAAAATAGTGTTGACAAACATTGTACCTCTAGTTAGCAGATTTATTTCTTGTGGCGTACGGGTTAGCAATCCTGAATCTATGTGTTCTAGGATTGAACAATAAGTAAACATATTGTGGATAATAAGAACCAAGTTTCTCACTAGCAGAAAAAGGAGTTATAAATAAAGAAAGGGGGGAGACCAGCAAGCACCCGGTGGTGTTGGACTGGAATTGGAGGTATCACTATGTATTTATGGATTTTAGTGTGTGTATGTATGTATACAAATAGATAGACATAAAAACTGATCAATATGTGTGTATGTGTCAATAAATGCATATACTTCCGAGCTCTATCTGCTGAGAGGGCCTAGAAGCGATGAAATCCCAGTACAAAAGGGCACACACACCAAGCACTCAGAACGTGGTTTCCATATACCATCTCCAATCAAAGGAACCAGGGCTCTTGGGAGAAATGGCTGATTCTGGGGCTGGAGCAGGGGAAATACAAGTTAAGCCTAGGACACTTTAGGGTTCCAAAAAGTAAAGAAGTGCTCAAAAAATGTTGGAGACATGTCAAAGGGACAGAGGCTCCCAGTGGCCAAATATGGAGCAATTTAAGCAACAAAATAAATAATACTAGTAATGGATTATAATCCATAGAACAAATTAATATCCAAGAGCATATCATGATAGAAATAAATAATTGAATAACAACTAAATGAAGAAGAAGGGACAGTTCTTAAAGTGAGGTTTCATCTAATAAAAAGAAAAATCACCATTTGGCAAACATCACGGTAATAACTATTTTAGACAAAAAAGCATCAATGAATGCTAAAATTAGTAGGCAAAAAGTATGATGAGAAACAGGATATTTATCTCAAAGTATCTCCCCACAAGACACGTTCAATTACTAACAGAAAAACAGTAACTTTATAGCGGAGAGATCTGGCAGACAGCACCTTAATCATATGATAGAAATAAAGACCACCAAGGAGACAAATCTCCGTCATGTGCCTCCAGAAATGATGGACAAAAAGAACCCACTACCACTCTGTGGTACTCTTAGCCAAAATGCACAGCTGAAATTTAATCATGAGAGGATTCAAATCTGAGGACATTCTACTAAAGTGTCAAGGAAAAGAAAGATAAAGCAAGACTTAGAAAATGTTCTAGACTAAAGGAGACTTTACTAACCTATGATGTCAACATTTAGGTAATCTGGGCAAAGGTAGATGGGAATTCTTTATACTATTTCTACAAGTGAGTCTGAATTTACTTCAAATTTTTAAAAATTAAAATTTGATATGCATGTATGCAAGTGTGTGTATATATATGCATACAAAAAGTCTTAAAAGCATATGTAGTGATTATCTCTGATTATCTCTTATTTGTATTTTCTGATTTTTCTCCAATGAAATGATAATTGTACTATTACATAAAATGTTCACATTTGGAGAAGGGTATGTAGGAATTCTTTGTACTATTTCTGCAACTTTTTAAAAGTGAAATTAGGGCCGACCCCGTGGCTTAGTGGTTGAGTGCGTGTGCTCCGCTGCTGGCAGCCCGGGTTCGGATCCCGGGCACGCACCGCCGCACCGCTTCTCTGGCCATGCTGAGGCCGCGTCCCACATACAGCAACTAGAAGGATGTGCAGCTATGATATACAATTATCTACTGGGGCTTTGGGGGGAAAATAAATAAATAAATAAATAAAAATTAAAAGTGAAATTATTTTAAAACGAAAAGCTAAAAACAAACAAGCAAACAAATAGGGTGGGCTATATTATTGTAAGAACGTCACTAGCACCACAATGCCTATAGCTTAGTCTGGTTCACAGGCAATGGCCCTCCAGTGCACACGGCAGATGTTGCTGATCAAGTAAAGATACAGCTGTAGGGGCCGGCCCCGTGGCTTAGCGGTTAAGTGCGTGCGCTCTGCTGCTGGCGGCCTGGGTTCGGATCCCAGGCGCGCACCGACGCACCACTTCTCCGGCCATGCTGAGGCCGCGTCCCACATACAGCAACTAGAAGGATGTGCAGCTATGACGTACAACTATCTACTGGGGCTTTGAGGGGAAAAAATAAATAAATAAAATCTTTAAAAAAAAAAAAAGATACAGCTGTATGTCATTCTCAGCATAGCCTGCCCAACCAAATGTTTGGTGGTGTTACTACAGAGGAAACCTATCTGCCCTCCCTGGCAGAGTGTGTTTTTTAGGGGGGCATGAGGGAGGAAAGGAGGCTGCCTTGTGATGATTACATTAAATAGCCTAGGGAAAGTCTCTGAATGCCATTCCAAGGAGTTCAGGTGTAATCCTATGGGAGAAGCAGAATGATCCGAGAGTTTTAAAAGCAGGAGAGAGCTAACATTTAATGAGCAGTGACCATGTGCCAGCTCCATGTAGTAGCTCAATTAATTTTCACAACAATTCTATTTAATGGGTAGTATTATTGTTACCTCGATTTTACTGATAAGAAAACCGAGGCGAAGACAGGGATTTGAACCCAGGAACCCCAACTCTAGAGCCAGTGCTCTGCAGCCCTATTCTTCATTGTAGAAGTTAGGCTTGGACATAATCTTCTAGCACTCTGTGAGGAGAACCAGAGTGGAGGAGAATGGAGGCACAGAGGCCATCAGAAGGCTCACAGTAGTTCAGGTGGAAGATGATAAGGGTTTAAATAATTTACCCATAATGTAATTTCAATTTTGCAGGAGTTTGACACATTAAGGCAAATAATTCCCTTTAAAAACAGAACTTTCATTTTAGAATTTAAGAGACATGATAGGAAATTTGAAGAAAAGAGTGCGGTAATGGTGCTCAGGGAGCATCCAATTCTAAATGTCACCTTCCCTCGTGAGGAAATGGGCAATCTTAGCGGATTTCAGGGAGGTGAAGCAGCAAGAAAATGTTTTCTCTTGCTGCCTGTGAAAAAGTAAGTAAGCACGATATGTGTGACCAAAAAACAGGAGAGGTAAAATACTTTTGTATAATGAAAAGAGAGACGTCAGTTTTCACTTTTTGGCCAAGCTAGTAATACACAAGAAGAGAACACTGCTGTAAGTGCCAGGCATATACTAGGTATTCAACAAACACTGATGGCATCAAATTGAACAATAAGTGGAGTTTACCATCCAATTTGACTGTCCTAAACGTCTTTTATACAGCATAAGACAGTGACTTTTAGAAATATTATTTCTTTTAAATTTATAATTCTAACTAAGAAACTCATATTTCCAAACCAATAATAATAGCAACAACAAAACAAGCTTGAAGAAAACATTAATGTAAAAATGCAAAATCAGGATTATCATTATTTAAGATACCTCAGTTTCTAATAAATTATATTTATCTTCACTTCAATAGATTTCATAAGGTTTAACACTATAGCATTCTGTAAGCTTATCATCCTTCTAGTAAAATGTTGGTTACACAATAATATGTTATTAACTGGGACTCCACTATGAAGGAATTTGTGATGTTTGTTGGGATGAAATTTACATTTGTACTACATGAATAAAGGATTTCCCAACCAAATTTGAAAAATAAAATTAGAAGGACACATTCTAAAAAACAAGTTATATGACTTAAGCATATTATTTATATTCAAAGATAAATATGCTATAAGCAATCATAATTTATTCTTTAGGGCCTGCCCGGTGGTGCAAGCAGTTAAGTGAGCATGCTCCGTTTCAGTGGCCTGGGATTTGCAGGTTCAGATGCCCGGCGCACCAAGGCACTGCGTGTCACCTCATGCTGTGGTAGTGTCCCATATAAAGTGGAGGAGGATAGGCACGGATGTCAGCTTAGGGCCAGTCTTCCTCGGCAAAAAAAGAGGAGGATCAGCATTGGATGTTAGCTCAGGGCTGATCTTCCTCACCAAAAAAAAAAATAATAATTTATTCTTTAAAACAAGTGACCCAAATCTCTACCTGAATATATGTTGTTAGAAATTACTCAATGAGTAATTTAGCTATTTTGTATTGACATTCTATAAATCAGCCTTTTCTCCATCTCAGACTGGCTTCACCTCTCCCCTATCAAAAAGTAAGAGAATTAATTTTCAAGATATTGGGGGTGGGCTGGGGCAAGGGGAGACAGATAACGAGAACTCTTGACTGAGACCTGGTCATGTCTCAACGTTTTTCTTTTACCTTCCTGAGAGATGGAGACCCTGGCACTTCCTCCGTGTCGCTGACACTGCTTTCGGGTACTTCACTAGTGTCTCCATTCGCTCTTTTCATTTTAGGGCTGCCACAGCTTTCCGGTGCAGAGATGTTTGTGAGAGTTTCATTAGGTGTCATTAGCCTTTTGGGTGCTGCTTTTCTCGAGATATGCTCCAGGGCCTTGCTGGTTACATTTTTACCAGCCTTAGAATTTGAACGAATCAGATCTGACCTGAGATATTAATAAGGATTAAATGCATGAACTGTTTATTTTGAAATATATATTTTTATATAACTAATGGAGCAATATGGGATGACAATGATAACACTGGTTTAGGAAATATATTGAAATAACATGGAACTAAGTGTTGAAAGTTAAGATTTACATATACAATTATTTAGAAATTCTCTAGACAGATGTGAATTTTTCAGTAAAGCAACCCAGGGTGCATGAGACAATCCTGTGACATGGTAGCAAGGCCAAGTTAGACAAAAAGTCAAATAAATTACTATATATCTGAATGATAAAATTTTATACAGCCATAAAAATGTTTCCAAGTCATAATCTATCATATTGAAATATGTTCACAATATAATATTTTGTGGGGAAAAAACAAGATACAAAACTACATACACTATATGATCCCAACCTTGTCTAAAATACAATTATATGTACAATAAAAAGTCTGAAAGAAAATACAGTGAGCCAAACATTAACAGTGGTCATCTCTAGGTGGTGCAAGTGTGGGTGATTTTTACTTTCTTCTTTGTACTTTTCTGTATTTTCCAAATTTCCCATAGTAAACTCATATTACTTTTAGGGTGATGCACCCCCCAGCGAAAAAAAAAAAATTACTAAGAGACAAAAGAAAAAAAGAAAGAAAAAAATGGCTGTCCCTATATTTGAGAGAGTTCTAGGCAGTGAATACAGACTTTCCTGTGAACCTTCACACTGTATCACTCCTAAAAAACAACTACTAAAAATGGAAATGAGTTTTGGGTAATAACAAAGATAAACCAGAGAGTCCTGTTAAATTCTGATCAGAAGAGAAAAAGCAAATATCCAGTGCAAGATTGGTGATATTTCTATGTTACAGTTAGGTCTTACTACAGCTCTTCCTGATTCAGTCAAAATTGCTGATCTTCTAATATTTTTCTCCTCAATTGTTTCCTAATTGAATGCCACTGAATTACTTCAGAATAAGATTGCAATGGCTTTTTCCTAACCAAGAAAGACATTAAAACATGGCCTTACCTTGTTCGTTTTTGTGACAGACACAGTGATTGTGGAGAAGATGCTCTACTTGGCTCATCAGCTAATGTAGCCAAAATAAAGTTAGCTTCCAGTAACATATCATCAATACTTAAAGCCATAGGTCTAAAAAAGGCAAAGTCAGAGCAAACATCACACTCATTTTCTGATGGGCATTGGGAAAACATTAGAAAATTACAATTAATTCGGGAGTAAAAAGAAACAGTAAAACTAGAAGTCCTTTTTGTCTTTTCACAAATTAAACGGACCTAGGAGCTGAAAGGGCCCTTAGAAATCATCAGATCCAATTTGATAAAACATCTCTATCCTAACCCAATCTCATCTGAAATTTCAGTTCTGAAATATCATATAAAGTATTATAGTTTTATAGAGATTTAACTTGAGTCATGTCTAATTTTCTAATTAGGCAATTTATTCAGCACCATGTCAAATTTATATATTTTTTCACTCTGCAGAAAAATATATTGTTCTCCATCAAATGACCAATTATAAAAGGCTATGTTATGGCATCTTTCAAAATTTCAGTTTAATAAGTGTTGCTAGTAAAGTTAAGGAATTCCTGAGGTGTGAATTAATTTCAAAGTGATCCAAAGTGTTTTATTATTAATATATAACAAAAGGAGAAAAAACAAACTCAGAAAAGTTCCCAAGGACCTACTTCCCAGGAAAATCAAAATGAATGGATACAGGAGCATGTGTAGCTTCTGAAAATATCAGCATTCCCTGAAAAAAAAAGAAAAAAAAATGAAATCTTTATTAAAAACTATCAGTGAAAATTTTGACAGAAATTTTTGTTTACCTTCAGTTCTTTGAAGCAAAATGTTATTTCAGTGTCAACTCCAATTTGAAAGAAGTCAAACTCATCTGGGCCAACAAACATCTCACTGTATACAGAACTGGTCGAATCTGTTCAATGTTATAGGAAAATAAAGAATAAAATTAGTTCCAGGGGTATTTTTTAAATTTTAATATGAAAATATAACCTTAAGAGGTAGGTTAAAAATAGCCACAAATTCTTTGACATTCCTTCATTGAGAGATGGGGTCTATGTCTATGTCCCATCCCCTTGAATCTGGGCGGGTAGGCTCTCTGACTGCTCTGACCAACAGGATATGGTGCTGGTTTCTGGGCCTGGGCCTTAGGAGACTGGCAGCCTCCACTTTCTCTGTCCTCTACCTACTTCCTCTATCCTGCAACACACGCTCTTGGAACTCAGCCACCATGCTGAGTTCATGTTATATATATGAAGTCCGCGTTAATGGAGAGGCCACATGTGTGCAGGCACTCTGGTTAACAGCCCAGCATCAATTACCAGTCATGTCAATGTGCCATCTTGGATGTCTTCAGATGATTCTAGATCCTGCCACTGCCTAACTGCAACTGCATGAGAGACCCCAAGTGAGAACTACCCAGCTGAGCCCCATCAACCCACAGAATCATGAGAGATAAGAATAAATTATTTTAGGCCACTCCAAAATATAGTGGCTTGTTATAAGCAATTAAATATTCAGAATACATAAAAACTAATTTATTCTAAAGGGAACAACTATTTATAAATATAGTTTACATATAATAACAGTTATTATATTTTATTTATTTCATTATATCCCATCTTGTTTCAAAAAGTATTAACAAAAAAGAGATTAACAGATAATATAGATGTATCATACTAAATTATAAAACATGGTTTAATAAGTGAATTTTAAAATTTTTAAATTGAGATATAATCACATACTATGACATTCACCATTTTAAAGTGTATAATTCAGTGGTTTTTAGTACATTCATAAGGTGTACTAAACCACTATCTAATTTCAGAACATTTTCATCACCTCAAAAAGAAACTCCACACCCATTACCAATCACTCTCCATTCCACCCTCCTCCCAGCCCCTGGAACCCACTAATCTAGTTTCTGTCTCTATGGATTAACCTATTCTGGATAGTTCATATAAATGGAATCACACAATATGTAGCCTTTTGCGTCTGGCTTCTTAGCATAATGTTTTCAAAGCTCATTCATGTTGTGGCATCTGTCACTACTTCATTTCTGTTTATTGCTGAATGATATTCAATTGTACAGATATACCACATTTTGTGTATCCATTTATGAGTTGATGACTTTGGGGTGGTTTCCACTCTATGGCTATTATGAATAACGCTGCTATGAATGTGGGGACTATGCAGTGGAAGCCACTCATTAAAGAGGTCCAAGAAACAAGACAGAATAACCTGGTGCCTTGATGATCATGGAGTAACCATACCTACCACTATTATTTTATTTTGTGTTTTCTGTCACTCCTAGTTGAAAATAATCATAAGTAATACACTCTACAATTTTTTAATGTATATTTTTGCATATCTTGTTTCCTTAAACAGAGAGAATGATATCTTATATGTCTTCTATTCAAGAAGAGATCATTGGACTTGGATTTTTCTCAACAACTACTGTCATAACGAACCCTTATGTTTGGAACATTACATGTACATTCCAAGATAATCAAAGATACAGACATTATGCCATTTATTCCTTTATTACATATTCTTTTATGATTTAAAAAATGATTGAGGGCCAGCCCCGTGGCTTAGCAGTTAAGTGCGCGTGCTCCGCTGCTGGTGGCCCGGGTTCGGATCCCGGGCGCGCACGGATGCACGCTTCTCCGGCCATGCTGAGGCCACGTCCCACATACAGCAACTAGAAGGATGTGCAACTATGACACACAACTATCTACTGGGGCTTTGGGGAAAAAAAAAAGGAGGAGGATTGGCAATAGATGTTAGCTCAGAGCCAGTCTTCCTCAGCAAAAAGAGGACGATTAGCATGGATGTTAGCTCAGGGCTGATCTTCCTCACACACACAAAAAAAATTGATGCACTAAAAGCACAAGTGATAAAGAAAGATAGATAAATTGGACTTCATCAAAATAAAAAACTTCTGTGGGCCGGCCCCGTGGCTTAGCGGTTAAGTGCGTGCGCTCCGCTGCTGGCGGCCCGGGTTCGGATCCCGGGCGCGCATTGACTCACGGCTTCTCCGGCCATGCTAAGGCCGCGTCCCACATACATCAACTAGAAGGATGTGCAACTATGACATACGACTATCTACTGGGGCTTTGGGGGAAAAAAATAAATAAATAAAAATTATTAAAAACAAAAAAGTCTAAAAAAAAAATAAAAATAAAAAAATAAAAAATAAAAAACTTCTGTGCTTCAAAGGACACCATCAAGAAAGTAAAAAGACAACCTATAGAATGGGAGAAAATATTTGAAATCATATTTATGATAAGGGGCTAGTATTCAGAACAATAAAAAGACAACCCAAGTGAAAAATAAGAAGGGATTTGAACAGAAATAAATATATTTGCATATTTCAAAGAAGATATACAAATAATCAATAAGCACATAAAAAGATGCTCAACATCATTAGTTATTAGGGAAATGAAAATCAAAACCACAATAAGACAATACCTCACACCCACCAGGATGGCTATAATCCAAAAGACAGATAATAACAAAGTACTGGCGAGGGTGTGGAGAAATCAGAACCCTCGTACACTGCTGGTGGGAACGTAAAATGGTGCAGCTGGCTTGGAAAACAGTCTGGCAGTTTTTCAAAATACTAAACATAGAGTTATTGTGTGACTCAGCAATTCCACTCCTAGGTATATACCCAAGATAAATGAAAACATACGTCCACACAAAAACTTGTACATGAATGTTCATAGCAGCATTATTCACAAGAGCCAAAAAGTGAAACAACCAAAATGCCCATTATATGATGACTAGATAAATAAAATGTGGCATACCCATACAATGGATTATTATTCAGCAGTAAGAAGAAATGTAGTTCTGATACATGCTACTACATGCAACAACCTTGAAAACATTATGCTAAGTGAAATAAGCCAGACACAAAAGGCTATATGTTACATGATTCCATATATATCAAACGTCCCAGAATAGGCAATTCACAGAGACAGAAAGTAGATTAGTGGTTGCCTTGGGTTGGGTCGGGTTTAGGAGGAAATAGGAAATGACTGCTAATGGGTATGATTAAATGTCTAAAATCTATTGTGATAATGATTGCACAACTCTGAATATACTAAAAATCACTGAATTGTACATTTGAAATGAATCAATTGCATGGTATGTGAGTTATATCTCAATAAAGCTGTTTTTAAAAAACAATGATGAATTTGGAGGAAAAAAGATATTTTTTTGTCTCCCAAACCCCTACCCCACCTGATCCCCCCACACAATATCTGTATACTATTTTCAAATACCTTTGTTCAAACAATAAATTCAATGTGATATTTATAATAAACCATACATCCCTCTTGAATTACTCAACAATTTAGGACCTACTACAAGTTCACTTCACATAAATCAAACTGTTTATGTTAAATACCAGAGTACTTATCTACACTGATCTAAGAGGAATTTCTAATGGGAATGATATAAAGATATAATTTTGACTCACATACACTTTTTTCTTTTTCATTCATATCCTTAATAACTTAAATACCATTCAGTATCTTTAACAAAATCTTGCAACACAAGGATCTTGAATGATAATTATATCTATAGGTATGGCCTGTTTTGGAAATCAAACCTTATTTCAAACTCTTCAGCTACACAAATTTTTACTTTAAAAACCCCATTCTCGCATCTCTGTCTGTTAGATCTAGCTATCAACAAGTCGTCAATATTTCCTTATAGCTATGGATAGATTTACATTTAATTTCTTTATTCCTAGATATTTAATCTTTATTGCTATTGTAAATGGGTTTTTTCCTTCCATTATGTTCTGTAAATGGGTTTTTTCCTTCCATTATGTTCTCTAACTGGATATTGTTTGTAAATATGAAAGCTCTTGATTTTCTGCATCTTTTATATCCTGCTACCTTACTGAATTATTTTATTGAGTTAGTTTTATCATTGATTCTCTAGGGTTTCCTGTTGTACTATCAATAGAGATGGTTGTACTTTTTCTTTAGTGCCTCTCATTGAGTTCTCTTATCTAATTGCATTGACAATGTTAAACAGTAAAGGAGAGAGTAGGTATCCTTGCCTTGTTTCTAATCTTAGTGGAAGTTAGTGTTTTCCTATTAAGTAAGATGCTGACTTTGGTATATGTAAAATATATATATTTTATCACATTAAGAAAGTGTCCATCCATTCCTATATTCTTCAGTATTTTATATCAAGAATGTTACACTTGTTCTAAGGCTTTTTCAGCATCTATGGAAATAATCATATAATTTTTTTCCTTAAATCTCCTAATATAGTGTTTTCTGTTATTGGATTTTCTAATATTGAACAAACCTTGCCTTTCTGGAATAAATCCCACGTGGTCATGGTGTATGATCCCCTTAATGAGGTGTTGAATTTTGTTTCCTAATATTTTATTCAACTTTTATATGCACTTTTAAAAATGAAAATATGATCATACTGTGCATACATACCATTTTTTAATATATTCAATAATGTATCCTGACTATTTTTCCAAGTCAATAAGCACATTTTTCTAATTATTCATGTTTGTCAGTATTTTATGTTTTTCACTACAAAATTAGCTTCAATAAACATCTTTGATATACACACTCAGAGAGAAAGGAATGTATATATACACACACCTAACATTACTTTTAATAGCTTCATAGTATTTCATTACCTTCACTCAACCAATCTCCAGTTGTTAGATCTGAAGTATAGAAGGAGATGTACCAAACTATTAAAAGTGACTGTCTCTGGATAGTGGGATTTCAGGTGATTTTTTTTCATTAGTGCTTTTTTTGTGTTTAATTTCCTTCAACGAACATGAATTATGTAAGTGTAAGAACAGAGGATAAATGGTATATGTATTTTTCAAGGACTGAACAATATCTTACAAATATATTCATCTCAAACAAGAAAGCTCACCTGTAGTGTACTAGCATAGAGTAAGTTCCATAATAAAATTAAACAACTGGGTCTCCAGTCAACCATAACTATAACTACTCATTAGGAAACTGCCCACTAGGGACAGTGTCTCCTGGTTACTAAATGGCCACCTTTATTCAGAGATGGCATTATGGAATATAAAACAGACCCCTCACTAGCCAAGCATATATTTTCCAGATCACGCACTCCTGAATGCCAAAAACAAATGCCAGATGAGACTTGAGAGAAGCAGTAATAGCGCGGTGGTAACGAGCCAGAGCCCTGGAGGCCGACTGCGTGTATTCAGATCATAATCCACCACTTACGAACTGCGTGACACCAGGCATGTCACTTAGTTTCTCTTTGCTTCAATTTCTTCATATGGAAAATGGGGATAATAATAGTACCTACATCATAAAGTTGTTACGAAGATCAAATGAATCCAGAAATGTAAACCATTTAGAATAGAACCTGGCACAAACTAAACACTAAAAAAGTTGTCTGACCCAACTTAAGCCCCGGTTCTACTGGTTTTTCACTTTAAAATAATACAGTTCTTTCCTCTGTATTCTTTCTTTACTATTATGACCCAAAAAATTATCTAAGGTCAAAGAATCTCAAACTGCTTGTGCCAAAAAGACTCTAGTAAATTTTCTTGATACCACCACTCCTGATTTAATCATGGCTTAGTTTCTCCATTCCACCCAGATAACTCTTGGAAGAAGTGACTTAAGAAGTATTCACCCTTTCTGCTCTATGTATTTGCCATCTGGAATGTCTTACATTTCTAATTCAAAGTTATTTTTCTTCTTATGTAGTCAAAGCTCAAGTGGATTGCTGGCCTCTTCATTTTTCTCTAAATTGTGCTAAACAACAAGTGCTAAACACAAAGGATGATAAAGGAAGAGAAATACACCTTAAAATCTTAACTGAAAATATATTTTTCTCAGTAACCATTCTCCTAATTTTATTTATTTTTATTTTTATTTTTTTTTGTGAGGAAGATCAGCCCTGAGCTAACATCCATGCTAATCCTGCTCTTTTTGCTGAGGAAGACCGGCTCTGAGCTAACATCTATTGCCAATCCCCCTCCTTTTTTGTCCCCCCAAAGCCCCAGTAGATAGTTGTATGTCATAGTTGCACATCCTTCTAGTTGCTGTATGTGGGACACGGCCTCAGCATGGCCAGAAACGCGGTGCATCGGTGCGCGCCCGGGATCCGAACCCGGGCCACCAGTAGCGGAGCGCGAGCACTTAACCACTAAGCCACAGGGCCAGGCCTCTCCTAATTTTAAAAAAACCTGAATCTCAAAGCCAAGTATTTTAATTACTGATTGTGTTAAACTTCCTGGATCTCTTAAAAATTTTAATGATCTTTCAATATCTACTGTTTTTCAGACAAGAAAAAATATTATGCCACTAATATTTACTGTATAGTTAGTAACCAAGAAAGCTAGGAAGTAATATTCCATCTAACGCCATGACAGACATAATCCTTACCCACTGATTCCTCATTAGAGCTCTTAATGCAAACATTCTGTGGAGTAACGGCAAGAGTAACTTCCTCTTGATTCGATGTAAAAAGAAAAACTGCCTCAGCAAGCACTCTATAAATAATGAAAAAAATTTATTATTTGAAAACAAACAGAACAAAATAATCTTACTAAATGGGACTCAAATCTTTAATCTGGAAATAAATAGGTTAGCTGGCCTAGATTTAGAAAAATTTACCCAAAAGACCTATCTTCTTTCTTCTACATGAACTGCTATATTTTTAGCATATTTTAAAATCGTCACTTCATTTGAAGGCAAAGAGGATAGTAAAACATATTCTTAGTAAAATATGTGAAAGCTGCAGGATAAACCAAACACTAGAATAAAATGTCATTAATTCTATATTTTTACATATCCAACGTATATTTTTTAAAATGGCCTGGGTTCATACTCATACAGGAGATAGTAGAAAAAGGAGCTGTTCAAATAGAACCCGGGTGAACTATGCTGGAGACCCAGGTGAGGGGCAGAGCTTTACAAGCAGTCCACTGCCTACATTCTCTTTCCCTTTGTTACTTGTCCTAGATTATTACCTATTACTTTCAAGGTTGTCCTGACATCCGAAATGCCCTTTCATCCTGAGCTCCCTTGTTAGAAACACTTTATTGAGATATAATTCATACACTACACAATTCACAGAATTGAAGTTGTTTGATTTGTATTTCCCTGACGACTAATGATGTTGAGCATCTTTTCACATGCTTCTCGGCCATTCGTATATCTTCTTTGGAAAAATGTCTATTCAAATCTGTTGCCCATTTTTTAGTTAGGCTATTTATCTTTTTATTATCGCATTGTAAGTGCTGGGCTACTTTTGAAATTGAGGCATTGTTAGACAAAAATGAGATTCTTAGAATTTATGTAATGTTGGTGTTAAACTGATGCTAGATATTAGCGCAGCACTGTTTCTTGATGCCAAAGTGTCAGGAACACCTAGGAAATTCATCTGCGAACTTTTCCAGTGTTAAGGGGGAAGTGTTGTACAAGATATCAAATAACCTGATACAAAAAACGACATGAATGTGCAATTCAAAAAGGAACAAAAATACAAATTGCTAATAAACATATGAAGAGATGCTCAAACTCCCTAGTACTAAAATAAACACAATGATAAAGAACATCTAATAATACCATTTTCTACCTATCAGATTGGCAAAAATTTTAAAGATTGATCATATCCTTTACTTGGAAGGATTCTCCTACACCTTTGGTGGGAATCTAAATTGGTACAAACTTTTCAGATAGCAATTTGGTAGTCAATGTGTATGCAAATTCAAAATTTGTGTAAGCCTTTTGACCCAGCAATTTCATTTCTGGGACTCGATCAGTGTTAGGCAACCAATAAGATGGCCCCCAATGATCCCCACCTCCTGGTATTCATGCCCTTATATAATCCCCTCCCTTCGAGTGTGGGATGGACTTACACATTCACTTCTAACAAGAGAAAATGGCAGACATGATAAAATGTCAATTCTGAGATTAGGTTATAAAAAGACTATGGCTTCCATATTGGGAGTTTCCTCTCTCTGATGACTAGCCGCCAGGTTGTGAGGACTATGAGGCAGCCTACAGAGACGCCTGGACGGTGAGGAACTGAGGCCTACCAGCAACCACATGAGTGAGCCTGGAAGTCAATCTTCTGAAGCTTCCCAGCAGCCATGTCAGCGAGCTTGGCAGTGAATCCTCCCAAGTCCAGCCTTCAGATGAGCCCACAGCCCTGGCTGACAGCTTGACTTCAACCTCATGAAAGACCTGGAGCCTGATGCACCCAGGTAAGCTGTACTTATTACTATGAAGTAATAAACGTCTGGATTTTTAAAGCTCTAAGTTTTGGGGAAATTTGCTCTACAGAAATAAATAACTAATACATCACCCTATGTACTACTAGCAGCATTGTTTGTGATAGCAAAAAGTTGGAAACAACCTACTTTTTCACTAATAGGGTACTGGTAAGTAAATTCTACTTCAGTTATACAATGAAAAATTATGCAATAATTAAAAAGAATAATATTGATATAAGTGAACTGACATAGAAACTAAAAAAAGCAAGTTGCCAAACAATAAGAACAGTAGGACATTTTCTCTGAAAAAACTATGTATAAGTATGTATCTAGCATGTGATATAAATTTGAGAGAGAGAGAGGGTGAAAGAGAGAGAAAGAAAGAGATAGCCATAACTACAGGGAGAGGGAGAGTTACACAGAGATTGGTTATAAATAGAAAATCTAGAAGGATATACACCAAATTGTTAATAGATGCTACCCCCGCCAAGTGGGATACAGGGGGAAGGTAGAGGAGAAAGACTTTTGTTTTTATCTTTGTACTCTTCTATAAATTTTAGATGTATATCAAGGAGCATGTATTACTTTTGTAATTTAAAAAACAATAAGAATAAAATATCTTTTGGCTCAGAAAGTCATTAATGTTTAACGCTAAATCTTAACTGAGAAATTCAGTGCACCTCACTGACAAATATGCCTCACTCGTTCTCTAGAGAAAAATTTGCACTTAGGGATAAAATCATTTCACATCAAAAATGTTAAAATTTCCTCATCCCTTGCGTTTTAAGGCTCAGACAGAAGGCACCATATAAATGCAAAGTATTATTAGATAATATTTTTCTCTTGATCTCACTTGATGTAGAAAGCCATGATGGGATATTTTTATAACTTTCTTGGCCACTAAATTATTATTGCCACCATTCGGCAGTTATTATCTACTATTATCTTTCTCAAGGTCTCCTCTTGATCTTGTAAGGTGATTTCTCCAAGTCCAGCGTTAGCTTTTAAAAAAAATGTAACTGATTTAAAAGATCTAGGGCATTAATTCTTTACTCTGTCACCACACTATATTCAGAAAAAGGAAAATAAACAATAGAGGACTCATTACCTTGGCTGAATCATTAGTATATTAGAACACATACTCTTTTCAAAAATAACTTGCAAAGGCTGACTCTCTTGAAAACACACATTATGAGTCCTTTTAATACCTTAAAAAGAATAAAGCAACCTGTTAATAATTTTAAGTGCAAAATTAACAGCTTATAGAAAGTCTGTAAGTTTCATGGCTAAGTTAAAATAATAAAATTAGGGGCCCGCCCCAGTGGTGTAGCAGTTAAGTGGGCGCGCTCCTCTGCTGGTGGCCCAGCTTCAGATCCTGGGCGCGCGCCGACACACCGCTTATCAGGCCATGCGGTGGCAGCCTCCCACATAAAGTGGAGGAAGATCGGCATGGATGTTAGCCCAGGGCGAGTCTTTCTCAGCAAAAAGAGGAGGATTGGCACTGGATGTTAGCCCAGGGCTTATCTTCCTCACAAAATAATAATAATAATAATTTAATTAAAGTAATATTTACTATCTGGCAGGTACACACAGCTTAGAGAGCACTATTCCTTAATGAATGTGTTTATCGCTCCCTAGTGGACACCATGCAACATGTCATACCCTCTGACCTATCAGCCAGTAAAGTTCCCACATTCTTTTGAAATACAGGTAATTTCTTGAATTGTGTGTAAAATAGCGATTACCCACGACAGATCATATATCTATAATTCTCTTTCAGTACTGGACATCTGGTCTGTGAATTCTTTTCCTCTGAGAGGAGGAGGAGAGGAGCGTGTGGCAATAATGGCTATGGCCCTATGTGCCAGGAACTGCAGTATGCATTTTGCATACATTACCTCTGAGCCTCATAGTATCCCTACGGGGTAGGTACTTAATCTCAGAAGAGGAAACTATAGCTCAGTGAGGCTAAATGACTTTTCAAGGCTATGCTGTTTTAACAAGTATAGCTAGAATCTGAACCTAAGTTTGAATATAGAGCCCATGTAATAAAATCCAGGTGCGCTATAACTTTCTACAGCATAATAATGTTGCAGTGGGAATCAAAACGGCTCACTAAAAACAATATTTCTCAACTTATTTTTTTAGTGAACTAATAACAACAGCAACATTTATTAATTTCATAAATACTCACTGAGTACCTACTACGTACAAGGCTGTATCAGTTAGCTTTTGCTGGATAATAAACCACTCCAAAATTTAGTGGCTCAAAATAACATTTGTTATTTCTCATAATTTGGCTGAGTGGTTCTTCTGGTTTAGGCTGGCTTAGCTGTGGCTGGATCATCTTGGATGGCCTCACTTTCCCATCTGGGACAACTGCGACATCTGGGATGGCTGAGGCCTCTCACCACACGGTCTCTAATCTTCCAGCGGTCTACACTGTGCTGCGCTTGTCCTCATGCTAATAGAAGAGTTCTTAGTGTAACAGTGGAAGCTGACAGGCCTCTCAAGGCCTAGGCTTGGAACGCACACAATATCACTTCTGGCGTATTCTACTGATAGCAAAGCAAGTCCAGGCCAGCTAAGATTCAAAGTGGGGAAACAGACTCCAGCTTTTGAAGGGAGGGGCTGCAAATAATTTATGAGCACTTTTTTGTAATCTACCACACAGGGACTATTTTAGGAGCTGTGAACTACCAAAGAACAAATCAGACAAAAATCTCTGTCCTCACAGAGCTTACATTCTAGTGAAGGGAAACAGACAATAAGAAAATAAATAAGTAAAACAATTGGTATGTCACATAGTGATAAGTGCCACAGGAACTAAGGAAAGCAGAGAAAGGGCTGGGGAGTGCCAGTGGTGGTGGGCAGCAATTTTAAATAGGAAGGTCAAGGAAGACCTCATGGAAAAGATGCCACTTGAGCAAAGCCTCGCAGGAGGTGAAAAAGCAAGGCTTGTGCTCTCTGGAGAAGGAGCCTGCCGGCAGAAGCAGCAGGGGCACAGGAGGAGGGGGAAGCACGCCAGGGCTTCCCAATCATGGAGGGCCTACAAGCCACTGTTTACCCTGGGTAAAATGGAGAGGTTTTTGAGAGTTTTGAGCACTGGAATGACATAATCTGACCTATTTTAAATGGATTACTGCAGCTGCTATTTTGGGAAGACACAAAGCTCAAAAGTTGACATATTTTACTTACTTATTTACTTATTTATTTATTTTTTGTGAGGAGATCAGCCCTGTGCTAACATCTGCCAATCCTCCTCTTTTTTTGCTGAGCAAGACTGGCCCTGGGCTAACATCCGTGCCCATCTTCCTCCACTTTATATGGGATGCCGCCACAGCATGGTTTAACAAGCGGTGCGTCGGTGCGCGCCCAGAATCCGAACCCATGACCCCCGGGCCGCCGCAGCAGAGCGCGTGCACTCAACCGCTTGCGCCACCGGGCCAGCTCCTTACTTATTTAAAAAATATATTTTCAAGTTACTTTTGGAGTGACACGTAATAGATGCCCATGGTATAAAATTCAAAAGATACCAAAGAATAGACAGTGAAAAGTAAGTCATCCTCCACTCCTGACTCCTGCCACCCCAGAACCCTCCACAGAGGCAACTGCTGTTACCAGTTTCAATTAGGTATTCTTCAGAAATAGCCAACTCGTATAAAAGCACAATCATGCCTCTATAACAAATATTAGACTCAGGTGAATATTGGCATTGTCGAGGACGTCCAAGTTGAGAAATGTCTTATTTCTTTGTCATACCTGATGCTCCTTTTCTTGCCACTTGCTTCCTTCCCCTTTTTCCTTATCAACACACACTAAACACTTTCAACCTATACCCTTGATCACACTGCTCCCTTATCGTAGAATGCCTTCCCATTTCTGCCTACTGGAAACTCCCCCAGACGTGATGCCACTCCCCAGAAAAAGCCTTTCTTCTTCACCTTTCTTCCCTTGGAATCTCTTGCCCAAAGAACATCCATTGTACCCGTTTTAAAGTAACTTGGTTTCATGTACCTCTTCACTGTGCTTTTTCTAGTCTTCCAGTTTAATAATAATTTTCCTTGACAGGATGAAAATAGGACAAAAATTTAGAAGTCCTGCTTTCTCCCTGTGTCATTTATAAACTTTATCTAGTGCTGCACAAAGTACTGGCCTATAATGAGATAAGGAATTTTGACCAGAATTTACTTCTTTCATTGAGAAAGTCTTACTATTAAAAAAAAACAAGAAAGACGGAAAAGAAAAAGAAAAACAAAACAGCTGAACTGAAGAGAACGCTTAGGGGCCGGCCCAGTAGTGGCGTAGCGGTTGAGTTCATGCATTCCGCTTCAGAGGCCCGAGGCTCACTGGTGTGGATCCTGGACGCGGACCTACTCACCGCTCATCAAGCCATGCCGAGGCGGCATCCCATATAGAAGAGCTACAACTCTGCAACTATGATACACAACTAGGTATTGGGGCTTTGGGGAGAAAAAAGAAAAAATAAAAAGAGGAAGATTGGCAACAGATGTTAGCACAGAGCCTATCTTCCTCAAAAAAAAAGAACACTTAGTAATGTGGTTGACTTAAATTCTGGCATAAGCTCCTTATCTTCTCACAGACCAGTAACAAACAGTTTGGGGCCTAGCAGCCGGTCCATGGACCACTTTGAGTAGCAGTGCATTATACCACCTGCTCCCCGCCATGGGATGCCTGATGCTATGATAGAATTCTGCTCGCCACTTCATAAGCTCAATTTGCAACCTCCCTCAGTGGGTCCAGAGAACTCTTTCAAACCTGAAAACGTACAGCTAAGGAATAACCATTATTTTGGAGATGTTACATTTGCGGAGTTTGGAATTTCAGAGGCTAATGATACTTCAAAAATCTTATGAGTTATTCACATATTCCCAAGTCCCTTTAGGTTCACTGTTAAGTGAGTTTAAAGTCATTAGCACATCTGTAGAACATCCTTTTACAAAAACTTAAAACCTTGAAGTGGGAATCCTGCCCTCTTGATGTCACTTCGTTAAATACACATGTAAGATTCAGAGTTTTATTTTCACTCAATAGCCCAGCACACCTCTCTTTAGGGAAGTCCCTCTCTGTTGGAGACCTGTCTCCTTGAGCCAGGACAGAACTTATTAGCAGGTGGTTTGTTTTTTTTTGTTTTGTTTTTTAATATTTATTTATTTATTTATTTAGTGTGTGTGTGCACATGCGCGCGCAGAAGATCAGCCCTGAGCTAACACCTATGCCAATCCTCCTCTTTTTGCTGAGGGAAGACTGGCCCTGAGCTAACATCCGGGCCGATCTTCCTCCACTTTATATGGGACACTGCCACAGCATGGCCTGACAAGCAGTGTGTTAGTGGGCGCCCGGGATCCAAACCCAGGCTGCCAGCAGCGGAACACACGCACTTAACTGCTACACCACGGGGCCTGGTCCCTAGCAGGTGGTTTGTATCAGAGTGTATTCTTCAGGGATAATTCACTGACTCATTTTTAGCAACTTTGGGGCCAGTGCAAAAAGAGTATGGAGAATTGGTGGAATTACTAATAGGCAGATACATATTTCAGATGAATCTTGGTTCTTGATGATATACGTCATCCTTTTTTTCTACTAGCAGATGCTAAATAATCTAAGAAATCACCATTATGGAAACCATTTATGGTTACATTCAGAGAAGTTAGTCCTTTTTAGTAGCTCTTGTTTTTGCCATTGTTTTTTATCAATGAAGACAGCCAAATTTACTTCACTACCCTTAATTTCTTCCCAAATACCAAATATGTATTTCTAGCAGCTTACTGGATCTCTCTGCCCAGGTGATTTTCTTAACTAAATTTGAACAATGTTTCCCCACCAGATTATAAATGTAAAATTGCAAGCATAATTTGCTGCATACAGTTTGGGAAAGTATAACTATTTATCCCAAGTACTGTAGCAGCATTTATTCCCTGCTTCTCCCTTCGTTCCTGAGCCATCCCTTCCCCATCGCATGGCAACCATGAGGTTTGGGTGGGACTGACTCTACTTCCAGCATCGCTGGTGGCCCCTCATTGGTATAAACTAATTGACGTGATCTTATCCTCCTGCAATTGACTTTGGTCCAGATACGGCAATGAGCCAAGACAGCGAATGGAATTCCCCTGGCCCCCAGGATTAGTTTAGGTTGGTCCAATCAGAGCAAAGTCAAGCACTTTTGTTTAACGGATGTATGAGGTAAGGCTCTCACTCCCCTGGATATGAAGGAGCAAGCATGTAGTCCCAGCTGCTGCTGGAAGTCACCTTATTATTAAAAGTTTATAAGAGAAGCTGGCCTTAGGATAACTCACATGGAGAAAAGCAGAGCTGAGAGAATTTTAAAAAGAAGAAAGAAAAGAGGCAACAGCTGCTGCAGCCTGGATTGAACCACGCCTGTGACTTAATTTTGAACTTTTCGTTTACATGAGCCAGTATTCCTCCTTATTGTTTAAGTCAGTTTGCACTGGATTTTCTGGTTATTTTTCCTCTGTTACTTGCAACTTAAAGCATCCTAACTCATACAACTTCCCTACAAAAGCTATTAAAAATCAACCAATCACAAATATATATTGGACATTACTCTAATCAAGCCACTTGAAAGATACTTAAGAAACTGAAAAGTTGGTTGTTCAAAATCTAGCCGGAAATAAGGGATGAGGATAATTGTAATAATAGCAGTCACCGACTAGTTAGTGCTCCCTCTGTGTCAGGCACCATGCTATGTGTTTTACTTATGTAAAGTAAATAACTCATACTTACAACAACCCTAGAACATGAGGGTAGGTAAGATTATCCCCATTTTACAGAAAAGAAAATGAAGGTTCAGAGGGCTGATGTTCTGTGACAAAGCTAATAAGAAGTAAAGAAGAATCCACACCCAAATCTGTGTGACGTCAAGGTTTGCTGTGCTTTTAATCATGCTCTTTACATGATTCTGCTATTACTTGAACTAAAGTTCCAAGAAGGTAAAAAATAATGTTAAATCATTGCTTTTTGCAGGGAAAAAAATTAAGGACTAGAATATAAATATGAGCTGAAATAAAAATATTAAGATAAACGTAAGACAAAATTAAGACATATAAGAGAAATTCTAACACTAAGATAACCTTCCAGAAGATCATTCCACTACAAAAAAAGATTTAGACCAATATCACAAGTATAAGATTTTTTAAAGCATACAATTCAACCTGCTAACTTCAAATAAAATAGCAGCAATCATAACAAATATAACTGAGCTAACACTTAGAGAATGTGCCGGGCAGTCTTTTAAATACTTTAGAACTATAACTCCTATAACTCATTGAATCCTCACAAAAACCCTAGGAGGCTGGGACTAATATTATCCCCATTTTACATATTGGGAAACTGAGCCACAGAGATGTAAAATAATTTACCCAAGGTCTTAGCAAGGAAGGGGCAGAGCAGGATTCCACCCCAGACCTTGTGGTCTCCAGAGTGCATGCTCTTACTCACCATGCTGTACATATTTAAGCATGTAAGAATCCTACGAGAGCAACATTTGAATATGTACCAAGCAAGGCTGGGAGGCAGGAAATCTGTTTCACAGCTTGGTGTAGCAGAGAGAATGAATGAAGGTTTGGGCTCCTACTATTGTGGGGCTGGATTCAAATCCAGACTCTGCGACTTACTAGTTCTGTGACCTCAGGCCAGTTACCACACGTCTTTCAGCCCCAGATATAATACTGTCTGCCTCCTAGAGGACTTTCAACGCAGGCAGACATTATTCTTTTCTGTTCTTAACAAGGAAAGCTGCTACCAAGGCACTCTTACAGAATATTATCAAGCAGCCAGTTAATTTTAGAACAACCAATTGTCTGAATTCAAATGGACATTAAAAAAATTGGTTTCTATGTAGACAAAGCTTGCGCCACTGACAAATCAAAAATAGAAATAATTAATACCACCCATCTCACAATACTTCTACAGAGACTTTTCAAGTACTTACAACCACCTTACCACAAAACTATACAAATTCTTAGCAATAATGCAATGTGAAGTCTTGACATGAAGTTTGAATATTCTCAACACGAAAAATATTAACAAAAAACACACGATACTTTAAACTAGTTTTAATTATACCTACCATGTCTGCAGAAGAATTGAATAACTACTTTGCAGTTATCAGATCTGGTGAATATTTTGCAGTTCTCTACATTTCTTTCGAGGGAATTCAGACATTTAAAGATGGGCAGAATTGACTGTAACACAAATACATTATAGAACAGCACATACTTAATATGGCTTTTTGATTAGTTAATAAAACTAACAAAAGAAGAGTATGTATATTCATAAATAAATAGACTTGTCCTGCATGCCATTTAAACCAAGTATGAAGTACAGAATAAATGTTATGTCCTATATAATGAATATTTCTACAATACAAGAGAAAAACAGGGCCACTTATATTTACCTTCATACCCAATTTGCAATTTAAATTCGATATTGTGTCACTATCATTCATTTTCACTGAAGTTGACCACTGATAATGTTGAAAGAAGACAGGAGAGAAGAGGACACATCCATATGCTGACCGACAAGAATTCACAGATCTTAAAGCAAGCTGGAAAAATAAAATAATAGCTATTTAGGAAAAACATCAACTCCTCTTAAATGATTAATTGAAAAAATTCTATTATGTTTAACATCACAATTAAATGTGTTCAAATAAGGCTATGAGATGTTAACTGCATTATATGGACTACATTATACACATGAATTATAATATTTATATTATATGGACTGCATTATACAGTGTATTGAATTTGTGTATATATACATATATGTGTACATATCTATCTGGAATACATACAGGTATTATATCTAAAATCTTTCATGTTGAAATTGTAAAATTGTAAATGCCTACAGGGGCCTTAACTTTAATGCACAAAGTGGCAGAAAGTAATATAATAGGGAGTAAAAGGATTGCCGCAAAATGGCGATCTCTTGCCTTGTCTGAGGGGAAAAACTGTTAGTCAGCGTCAGCCACCCACGTCCACTTGGGGATGCAGGCCCCAAACTGTCAGATCTTCTGAGTTTTCCAGAGATTCAGATTTTTATGTGGACTCTCCCAATTTTTAAGTGTTAGTAAATTATTTCAATTTTTAAAAAAATACAGTGCAGGCCCCACAAAACACTTCTGTAAGCTGTATCTAGCCTCTTGACCACCAGTCTGTGACTTCTGGTTTAAATCAATTGTGTTTGTCTGCATGATCTTTGAGTTTACTACGCTCTAAATGTATTCAGATATGTAAAATAAGGATGAACAGTGAAAGCAATAATTACAATTTCTGAATTTCCTAGTTAACATTCAAACTGGACTGGGATTTTTAAACACCCTCTTTTGCCTTACTAGATGGTCTATTAGTTAACTGTCTTACTTACACCTTTTTCAGACGGGTCTAGCCACAGCTCATCACTAACTCGTGACAGAGCTTGGATTGCTTTCCCAAATACTACGGAGAAAAAGAAAGGTGCTGCTTACATTCTCTCTCTCAAACAATAAAAACAAATCATAGGACCACTTCAGCATTCATGGGACTCAAGATAAATTCATAAAAAACAGTGTTTTATAGACTAATGCTGCATTGGTTTAAGAAATGTAATACCCTTGGCAAAATGCCAGACACACAATAAGCGCTCAATAAATTCAAAGAAGGAGTGTGTGAAGTGATAAAATGCAACACAGTTCTTTTCTGGATGTTTGCATTGTTGCATGGAGCTACTGTAGCAAGCCAATTTCCATACTAATGTATTTTTAAATTTAGTTTAAATAAATGTATTCCCCACCCCACAAAAAAAGTTTGAAAACTGCAAGGAAAGGACGGTTTGAAGGGTTTTAATAACTTCACAGGTGGCAAAGTCAAAACAAGTCAGGAGACAGACCATAGAGACATTTAAGATACATCTCTGATGTTTGAGGGCAGCATGGAAGATGCCAGATCTTCCCAGCAAACACACTCAGATACCTTGTCAGAAAGAGAGGCTGGGGCCGGATGAAATATTGGTCTGGCCTGGTATGACACCGCTAATGTTCTTATGATTAAGTACAAAATGTGGCCAACAGATATGGACTACCATGCTGCAGTAAACATAGATGCCATATCAATGCAGTAGAAAGTAGAAAAAAGGAAAAATAATAGCAGAACATAAAATCAGATTACAGTACTTAGGAATCAGAAGCGTTTGAGTGACAGGTGCGGGGTTCGAATTGAGAAAGAGAGGGTGACCCGAAGAAAAAAACAGAGAGAGGCATTTGTCCCTTTTCACGCCTTCACATTCACGGCTTTTTCCCGGAGCTGCTTCGAGTACACCTTTCACTCGTCCAGTGAGCATTTATTGAGCGCCTACTGTGTTCCGAGCGCGACCCGAGGCAACGGGGTACAGCAATGAACAAGACAGGTCCAGCGCCTGCCCTCAGGGGGCCTACAGTCTAGTGACACTACACAATCACAGGAACAGGAGCTTATGAAGAACCGAGGAACACTGCGGAGGAGAGCCCCCAGCGCGCCGGGGACGCACAACGGCGGACTCGCGCTTCCCTTTCCCGAGCGTTAACCCGCAGATGTCAACGCGGGGCGCGCCGGCCACAGCTCCCGACGCCCGTCAACCGCACCTTCAGGGTACAGTCCTGGGAAACCGCTGCTTTTCTAAACACACATTTTCTGGAGCAACTTACAGGTTTAAAGGACCATTTACAATAAATAGTTGCTGTACACTTCCTTTATTATGGAGCTCTTTTCACGTCATTTCCATTTCAGTCCTACCACAAACTCTTAACACAAAGGGGCTGTTGTTATTCTCATTTTACGGATGAGGAAACTGAGCCTCGACGTGATTCAGAGACTTGTCCCAGGTTATACATTAACAAATGGTAGAATCCGGAATAAAAACCAGGTTTATCCTTCCTCATGACACTAACTGTCCAAGCATATTTTTTTCTCCCATGTCCTCCCCACGCAGCCCTTATCGTCCCGAGTTCGAGGCCCGCACTCCCAATCTCTGTCCCGAGGGTGCATCGTCAATGCACGGACACCCACGAACATAAACGTTACGCATAAATAAAAGCGGAGGGGCCTTCATCCTCCCCTCAGAAGCGAACAGGACCCTGGTGGGTGAGGGCTGGCTCCGGCCAGGCCCTGTGTCCTCAGGCCTTGAGCATAAAGGCCAAGCGGCAGAAACAGGACCACGATGGAAGCCGCCCCATGAACCTTAGCCTTTCCGTTTTTTACACAGGAAGGCAAGAAAGGCCACTTCACCTTTCACCTGACTGCCGCTCATTCCGCACTTCAGCATGGCTGCGCTGCGGAACTCAAGGCGCGCCTCAACTCGACGGCCCCAGGTGCCCGGATGTTGCCCGCGCTTTTCGAAGCGTCGAGATTTCACACACACTCCCCTCCTCTTTCCCAAAGATGAGTTTCGCTTTACGGCGGAAAAAGGCCTGTGCGGGCCTCCGTACGGCGGCCTCTTGTCGACCTCGTTTTTCATTGGTTGCGAGCCAGGTGGGCGGGTCGCCGAGGAACCTGAGGAAGAGGGTGGTGGCGGCTGTGGTGACTGAGCGGAGCCCGGTGACAGGATGGTGAGGACGGCAGCTGCGGCGACCGGGGCCTGGCTCTGGGTTTGGGTGCTGTGTCGTTGGGAGTCTCTGGGCTAGGGCCTGGGCGATCCCGGGGGCCCTGGCGGGCGCGGCCCAGACTCGGGCCCGGGGAAGGCCGAGGGGGAGGGTCGGGAGCGGCCACCTCTGGGTGCGGCCGGCGCGGCCTCGCACCCCCGCCTCGGGGGCTAGAGGACGTGCGAGGGGGAAGAGGGCCCCTCAGCCGCTGGGTGGTCACGAGACCCGCATGCCCGAGCACGGAAGGGCCTTTGGGCCTGTGCCTCGAGCGTCCCCGAGAAAGGGGCACGATCCTCCGTTTCCAGACGTTTCTCTGGTCCTTTCCCGCAAAAAGCGCCTCCCGCTGGTTGGGGTGCACCGCTTACCACCCCAGTGTGGCAAAAGCTGGCTTCTCGGATGCAAAACGGGAAGCAGCGAGCAAAATCTCCTGCCCTTTTTGGTTTGCCATCTGGGGAAAGGGGATGAGAACTATCCGCTTCGCACCTGAGAAGACGTGCAGCTGCCATTGAAATGTGGTAGGGTGTCCTCAGGGACTCGATGTGGCTCTTAGCATTGCTGGGACCCTTTAGAGCAGGATTGCTTAGTGGTTTATGAACTTGAAATTGTTTGGAAGGTTTTGTGACTATGTACGTTCTTCTGGGCGAAGGCCAGTGTTGGTAAAGGCAGTGGGGAGCTTTTCCTCGGTCGTTGATCAGACTGCCCCAGCCACCTTCAGGGCCGGTCCATCACCCCCTCGCCCCCAGTAGGTTGCCACCCCTGAGACCTCCCTACATAAAAACTCTGGAGCTGCTACTGGAGATGCCTCATGGCTGTAGTCAGATGTGCAAAGGTGCCTTTGATCCCCTAAAAAGCTAAGAACGGTTTCAAAAGGAGCTTGATTATCTTGGTATTTGTGGTGGTGACGTTAGCTGTAAAGGGACTTCTCTCTCTGGTGGGCATCCATTTCATTTTTAAGGTTATCATGATTCTGTGACAAACATAGCCTTTGACGTGGCCTTTACACGTGACAGCCAAAGATCTATGGTATATGCTTCTTTAGCTTCTTTATATATGGAAAAGGCTTTAATCCTACTTTTGTTTTTGCTTCTAAACAGACTCCAGTTTAGAGTAATCCAGTTTACAGTAATTTTGAGACACTTATCTCTGGGAGAAGACGAAATTGCCTGACGTATGATTCCATATTCGTGTTTCTGAAGTTTTCTTGAGAGGCGAACACTTTTTTTAGAGTAGTTGTAGTGGAACATCACTTTTCACATGAAGTAGGAAGAACTGGGCAAGAGTTAGCATTAGCTGATTCTTTTATGATTAAAAGCATTTTATTTGGCAGCAAATTCAAGTGTGGGGAAGGTCCAGTTTTAGCTGGAGAAATGTGTTTGCGTTTATCATCTTTAGTTGGTGACTTCGTCACTTGATAATGTATTCATAGCGTTGTGTTAGATCTTCTATACAAAATAATGACCTAGCTGAGTGTAATTTTCCAACTACTGGAATTTTCAACATAAGAGAATTAAAAATCAGTATACTTGAGGAATAATTAGACCTTAAGAATCCAGAAAATGTTAGCTTTCATTTAAGCTATTACTAATGAATGTTCCAAATTTTGTCTTATAAAATTCTAAACAGAACAGGAAACAAAAGGGATGGGAGTCAATGTGGAGAATAAGATTAGGAATAATAGAAAAAATTGACAGGGCAAAATTTTTAAATGTGTAAGTGTGTTTAAGATGTTCAAAAATATAGTAAGGGGCCGGCCCTGTGGCTTGGTGGTTAAGTGCGTGTGCTGCGATGCTGGTGGCCCGGGTTCGGATCCCGGGTATGCATCGAGGCACCACTTCTCCGTTCATCCTGAGGCCGAGTCCCGCATACAGCAACTAGAAGGATGTGCAGCTACGACATACAACTATCCACTGGGGCTTTGGGGGGAAAAAATAAAATAAATAAAATCTTTAAAAAAAAAAAAAAATATATAGTAAGTGGTTTTTTTGGTATTGTTTTGAGCAAAGCTGATTTTTAACATTTTCTTTCATAACACTCAGAAATCATTAACAATTGTTTGCGTATTCATTTGATACGAGTTTTTTGTTCTTTTTTTGGTTTGTTTCTTTTCGTTGCTTTCTTTTAACATTGGTCATGTTTCACCCTTTTTTTTGATTCCCCTGTCTGCAATCAACTTCTTCATTCCACTAAGGCTGGGCACAGAGTAAGTTTCTTCTCTTAGCTCCTACTAACAATGGTGGTTGGGTGGCTGATTACTGGGATTTTCACCCTTTTATTGTCTATCAAATAGGAAATAACCAAATTCCTATGCTTTGATTGGGTTGGTTCTTTATTTGAATTTAACAAGACTTCCATTTCCAGAATCTTTTGTTGTCTTAAAAGACTCTATAATCTGTGTCTAACCTGAACTCTCAAGTGTGGAATTCGGGCAAGGACAATCCTCAAAGTGTGGCATTTGTTATGTGACACTATTTTCCCTATTACTTTGTCACCTGCAGGAAGCCAGAGTCCTAGTAAGGATCCTTACTAATTAGAAATAATTTCTGTGTAGTCATTCATACAGTTATATCCTTAGATGGCTAGTAGTCTGGGTACACTTGGGCATAATCCAGAGTACATTATAGAATAGGTCATCAATCATTATAAAGTATCATGTCTTGGGGCGGGCCCCGTGGCTTAGCCGTTGAGTGCGTGTGCTCTGCTACTGGCGGCCAGGGTTTGGAACCTCGGGCGCCCACCGATGCACCGCTTGTTTGGCCATGCTGAGGTGGCGTCCCACACACAGCAACTAGAAGGATGTGCAACTATGACATACAACTATCTACTGGGGCTTTGGGGAAAGAAAAGGAGGAGGATTGGCAATAGATGTTAGCTCAGGGCCAGTCTTCCTCAGCAAAAAGAGGAGGATTGGCATGGATGTTAGCTCAGGGCTGATCTTCCTCACACACACAAAAAATAAATAAAAATAAAGTATCATGTCTTAACTACTGTTCTTTCTAGCGCATTCAGATGGAACAGCTCATTCGTTATTAGTCCCAAACATTTTCAACCTGTTATAGACATATGCCCTTTTATGAGGTTGAGGTTCTTCTTTTTTTAATATAGAAATCTATTTTTTTTTACCTTTTTCTCAAATGCCAGCTTCCTACATTAACTATGTACTTCAATCCTTATCTGAAGGGATCCCCCTCTAAAGATGAAGATTGTTCTCTCTCCAGGTACTTTTGTATTGATTACCAATGAGGGTGGAAACTTCGAGGTGGTTTTTAGTTTTACAGATGTTTCGTCCACTAAGATCTGGATTGAAACAATTAATATAAGTCATTGAGTAAATACCAGCTGAAACTACTCTTTATAAAGAAGAAACTTATTTAACTATTTCGTTTAAAGTGCGCTGATTTTGTAAGCTTGTGTTACTTCAGTTACTCTACGTCCTGGTAACAGTTCCTTGCCTTTGTAATCATTTTGATATTTGTTGCAAGATGAATCAAGCTTGTTTTAGTAATAATTTTAATTTCACACGTTTTGTTTTTGATTTATTTCAATTTACAAAGTCTGTGGTGGCAAAACTATTTTCTGTTTTATCCTATTTTAGATATTTAATGTTTTCCTTGATGATGTTAAGGAATAGTCATACCTTCTTTAAAAGCAGTTAAAGGGCATGTACATTTATGGATGGGATGTCTGTGTGGGAAAACATCCTGTCATAGAATGAAAGTGCTTATTCTAATCAACATGAAGAAATTGATTCTCTTGTCCTTTGGAGGGCAGATATTATTTTTAAATGACCTTTTTGACAATATTCTGTTACATGACTGAATTAAATAATGTTTATATGTCAACTCTTAAAATTTTTAAATTAAAATTTTACAGGATTGAGATTTTGTATTCTTTTATATTTAAGTGCTAAATTTATTTTTGTCATCTGAGACTATGTTGCAACTCTACCTTCTGCTAAATTCATCATGTATTTAGCTTTTTTTTTTTTTTTTAATCTTCTAATGCACATGAAAGATTGTGAAAATGTTATTTTAAGTTTGGGAACTAAACTGGGGGTACATAGGCAATTTAATCTAGATAATAATATGACAGTGAGGATTTCTAATAATGAAGGAAAGAGAAGATAACAAAGATTATAATTCAGAAGCACATGTTTGCCCTATTGAAACTCTTTGAAACATAGGGTGGTTTTATTCCTCTGTAATGTATAGATAATACTTTTAAGTAGCAAATATTGTAAATTTTGGCTACTGTCCTCCAAATAGTTGTCAGTCTAGTAAACATAAATTATAGAATTAACTTTTTTTCTCTATCATTACATTTTTAATAATTCTCTTTATTAATGTTCCAGGAATCAATATATGAGGTTTTACATTAAAACTGCAGAAATATGAATTACCATATCAGTCTTCAAAAATGCCAAATTCCTTAGAGCCCAGTAGTATATTTTTCATTTTACAATTTTTTTTTCAGTGTAATTTATAGGTCTCTAAATGAATCACTTTAGAAAGCTTGATTTTATTCTTGGTAAATAGAATGATTACCTGTATTGTGTATGCACACCTGTTTATGACCAAAATAAAATAAGATGGATTTAGAACAAAGTATGTTACCATATGTGTGTTTGTTTAAATGGTCATGATAGGAACTGTGTGAATAACTTCTGCTCTTTTGCTTTCTGGAATCTCTGGTTAGTTTAATTTAAAGGGGAGTTATGGGAGGAGAATCCTTGTTTTGACATCATGTTTAACAATACACCTTGTCTCACCTTGACACTTTAAAGTTGGTGTTGGTATTAGGAGACCTGCACATCCCACACCGGTGCAATAGTTTGCCGGCTAAATTCAAAAAACTGCTGGTGCCAGGAAAGATTCAGCACATTCTCTGCACTGGAAACCTTTGCACCAAAGAGAGTTATGACTATCTCAAGACTCTGGCCGGTGATGTTCATATTGTGAGAGGAGACTTCGATGAGGTGACGTATTTCCCTTTCCCTTCCCAAATATTTCCTTTTCTCGATTCTTACATATCCTCTATCTTTTAGGCCAGAATTTTTCAACTGTGAAGATCTTTTTTTTTTTTTTAATTTTCCAAATGTAAAATTACTACACATACTCCTCTCTTACTGTTTGAAAATCACTGATTTTAGATTACTCAGTAAGCATATTAAGTATTTGTTCTAACTAAATTGATACGGAGTAGAAGTGGTTTTGTCACTATTTTTTGTAGTACTGTCATTTAGTTTATAAAGTTTTGTTACGAGCTTCTCACCACCCCACCTCTACTACCCTGTTCCAAGCCACCATATCCCTTCCTGTATTCCACCTTCCTGATTCTACCCTTCCTCCTGCCATACTTTGTTCTCCAAGTAGCAACCAGAGTGATTCTTTTTAGGTGAAGTAAGATCACATCACCACTCTGCTGAAAACCCTGCCATGGCTCCCTGTCTCATGGGTTAACTATAAGGGGGCGTGAGGGAGTTTTGAGGTGATTGAACTGTTCTATATCTTGATTGTGGCGGTCCTGGAACAGATGTCTGCATTTGTCACAATCCCTTGAATTGTACACTAAAAAGGATAGTTTTACTGTATGTAAATTATACCTCAATAAACCTGACTTGAAAGAAAAAAAGTTAGGAATTCTGGAGTTCTAACTTTGCCCATTAGTTAATAATGAGATTTTAGACAAATTACATCCTCTTTCTGGTCTTAGTTTCCTCCTACATAAATATGATTGGAATAGATGATTTTTAACACTCCTGCCAGTGCTAACATTGTATGATTTAACATGATAAATCTGTTTCTAGTATGAAAAATCTATTTTGTATTTCTAGGAATATAAACTTTTCCATTAATTATTTAACTTCATTTGTGCTCTTTAATGGGGCTCTTTTATACCAAACGAAATGAGCATAGTGTCTTTTTTTTTTTTAAGTGAATTTAAAAAAGAGTTTGGATAAACTAGAGGTGGCATGGAGGTGAAAGATGAGGGGGATGAGAAGAGAAGGGGCAAACTTCTTGTCAGTAATTAGAATATTGGTTTGTAAAAAACATATTGGTTTGTAAAGAACATATTAGGGATTCTGTTTGTGTTATGCTCAAGACAGTTCCAGTAGCAAGAATTAAAATTTTTTCTTCTAATTTGCTAAATTCACAGACCCTGGAGCCATAATACCAGGGTTTGGATCTTGGCTCAACCCCTTACTAACATGACCTTGGGCAACTTATTTTAACCTCTCTGTGCCTCACTTTCCTCATCCATAAAATGAGGGTCATACTAGAACCTATCTCAGGATTGTTCGTAAATATTAAATAGGTTGATATTTATAAAGCTCTTAAAATAGTGGCTGGTTCATATTAAGTGCTATATAAGTGTTAACTATCATTATTATTTTAAGCCATTTATATAACTATTAAAGCCTGGGATATAATTTCAACACACCCTAGCTTACAGGTTATATGCCTAGGATTCTTAGGTATAAGAAACTTGCAAATTTGGGGCCATAATTATTCTCTACAGCATGCCCAAAAGAGCCCGTGTTCTATAAAAATAAACACAATAAAGGGATTGCATGATAAATTCCAGTTTACCTGGAGTAAGTTATGTTTTGAGCATAGTTGCAGCCTTAGAGACTGAGAAGAAATCAGATATCAGTATCTCTAAAATATATTTTTCTTATGTCTGTTTCTTATTTTAGAATCTGAATTATCCAGAACAGAAAGTTGTGACTGTTGGGCAGTTCAAAATTGGTTTGATCCATGGACATCAAGTTATTCCGTGGGGAGATATGGCCAGCTTAGCCCTGTTGCAGAGGCAGTTTGATGTGGACATTCTTATCTCGGGACATACACACAAATTTGAAGCATTTGAGCATGAAAATAAATTCTACATTAACCCAGGTTCTGCCACTGGAGCGTATAATGCCTTGGAAACGTGAGTGATATGCAATTTGGGAATTTGGGAGTTTTATAAAGTTAATAATTGCACGTGTGACATTTCATAAAAGAGAAATGTGACCCTTTAAATATTTATAGCCTTTTTGGCAGTCGTCTTTTGGTGATTATTCTTTTTAATGTGTAACAACCAGATTTCTCCTTGAATCCAGTTGTCATCTTAAATTGAATTTATAGTGGTGCTGTTTTTAGTACAAAACACTGACATTATTTATATTTTCTTCCAGAAACATTATTCCTTCATTTGTGTTGATGGATATCCAGGCTTCTACAGTTGTCACTTACGTGTATCAGCTAATTGGAGATGACGTGAAAGTAGAACGAATCGAATACAAAAAATCTTAAAGCTAGGCCTGTCTTGATTTTTCTGTTGGGTTTTTTTTTTCATTCTCCTGTTCAAATCAAGTAAAAATTTAAGAGCCACAAAACTGTATCACTTTTCTAATATTTTGCAGTAAAATATCGTCTTCTGTTAATAAAATGTTCTAAGCTTCTTGTAAACTATAAGAATATATTTAGTTTAAGTATATGATTTCTATGAAAAAATGTCCACCACACAGTAAATGGTCACGTGTTAGGGAAAGTTTATCCTTGTAAATATCTTCCAAGTTGATATTTGGAACTTTATTACAAACATAGTGCATGAGGAGAAAGAATCTAGACTTTCTTGTATACATTTTTTTCTTCTCCAGTAATAAAGTTACCTTTCATTTATACTTTCTTGATAAACTTGTGTTTTAATTTTTACAAATCATAAAAATAAGAGATGGACTGAAACTGTGGACAGATATTAAAGTGATGAGGTAGATGAGATGACTTTCAGAGCTCTCTCATTTCCTACAGCATTCTAGGTCACAATCTCACTCAGATTTTATTTTCTAAATAATATACCATATTGACATGTTAAATCAGCAGTGATTAGTCAAACTGTTGCTTTAAATTGCCCTATTCCTCTTTTTCCAGTTTTAACAAAATTTTTAAAAAACAGTATTTAGAAGGAAAGCACACTAGAGTGAATATATAACGTAAAGAATCCCCTCATTAGTACTACTCCCACCTTAATCTAGTTTGAGAGTCCAAGTGTTTGTGTGGCAATTTTCATAAAATAGGGCAAATTGATATTTCCATTTTTATGTTGTATTCAAGTAGCAAATATTTATTAAGTACCTTCTTTGCAACCTAGGTGTTACCTCTATCAAATACTATTCTGTGTTAGAATATTTCAAGAGTTTTCCTCAGCCCAGTCAAGAAAATACTTGTCGTATATTCTAATGTTGCTGTTTTAGGACTTATTGTAAACAGAGAAAGAATTATACAATGTATTTGTTAGATTTAAAGAAAAATAACTCAATTTTAAGTGACAAAAAAATTTTAATTGTATCTAGCTAGAAATACAAGCATATATTGCACATAAATTTTATTACACAAATATCATTGGTACATGTACCTACATCAAACCAAAAAGTTTCTAAACAAACCAAAATTACTTAATGACTTAATGGTGAATAACAATACTATCCTAAACGTAGAGGGAGGCCACAGTTCACAACCCCTTCCCCCTACTTTTGGCACATCATCAATACACAAGACAAGATTGTCAAGTTAACATCAGATGTTCTCCCTGTTCTTCAATTGACATTGATTGCATACACTTTAGTAAATCTTCTTCCTTTTTTTCTTCATTCATGTATGATTCAGAATCATTTGTAGAAACTAAAGGAAAAAATAAGAATTTATAATGTCTGTTTTGGAAATAAGTTGTATTTCATCCTGAAAATAGAGATTTGTATATAAGAACAACCTTCAAAATGACCTACCTTATTAATAAGCCCTAGCAAAAACAAATTGCCTGCCATTTTCAAAACTTAATCACCTCCCTGCCTTCCCCCAAATCTCTTTTTAAAATAAAATAAGATACCCAGTACGGGCCGGCCCCGTGGCTTGGTGGTTAAGTGAGCGCGCTCCACTGCTGGCGACCCGGGTTCGGATCCCGGGCTCGCACCGACGCGCTGCTTCT